CAACCAACAGTTAAATTTTGGAGAATTAATTCCAAAATTGGGGCGTTCGCTTTGAAACCGCCATAAAAAAATGTTCATTTGCTTCTTAAAAGCTAACGAGCAAATCATTTTTGATCAAATGACACGAATTTTTCAGTTTTTTTAAGATTATGCATGTCATATGTGTTCAAAAATCTTACCTTTTGGTGCACTGTAAGCAGGTGGGGCACTATAAGCGGGGGCGGCTGGAGCGTAAGCTAGAAAAATAAGAAAAATGTCAATTAATACTTTTAAATCAACCAACAGTTAAATTTTGGAGAATTAATTCCAAAATTGAGGCGTTCGCTTTGAAACCGCAATAAAAAATGTTCATTTGCTTCTTAAAGACTAACGAGCAATTCATTTTTGATCAAATGACACGAATTTTTCAGTTTTTTTAAGATGATGCATGTCATATGAGTTCAAAAATCTTACCTTTTGGTGCACTGTAAGCAGGTGGGGCACTATAAGCGGGGGCGGCTGGAGCGTAAGCTAGAAAAATAAGAAAAATGTCAATTAATACTTTTAAATCAACCAACAGTTAAATTTTGGAGAATTAATTCCAAAATTGGGGCGTTCGCTTTGAAACCGCCATAAAAAAATATTCATTTGCTTCTTAAAAGCTAACGAGCAATTCATTTTTGATCAAACACTGACAGTAGAAACCGGGGAACATAACCCGTTTTTACTCCATTTCAGAGCAATAATAGAATTATACTAAATCTAGTACAATTCAGTTGGTTTTTCACTGTATTAGTATAAAAGTCATTTTTGAAATTCAAAGTTAAAAATGACATTTATACTCATACAGTGAAAAAACCAACAAAATTGTACTAGATTTGGTATGATTCTATTATTGCTCTGAAATGGAGTAAAAACAGGTTATGTTGCCCGGTTTTTACTGTCAGTGAATGACACGAATTTTTCAGTGTTTTTAAGATGATGCATGTCATATGAGTTCAAAAATCTTACCTTTTGGTGCACTGTAAGCAGGTGGGGCACTATAAGCGGGTGCGGCGTAAGCTAAATTAAGCAATTTCGTCAATGAAAAGATATACTTTTTAGTAAGACATCACATTTTTATACGATTGAATATAACAAATCCAATTCAAAAACTATTTGGTAGTTGAATCGACGAAAACACTTAATGGTTAACTTGAAAGTCACTTTATAAAATTGTATTTGGTTCGAGGCAAACGCTTAAAGAATTTCTCTTTGTGACCAAATACAAAATTATTGTGTCAATTGAAATATTTACCTTTCGGAGCCTCATATTTTGGTGGTGCGGAATAGGCTATAAACGAAAACAAACACTTGTAACTAAAATTTTAAATAAGAATTTAAACTATTAACTATTTCACGTGAATTCAAAGGAAAAACCACACAAGATCAAAAATTTGTAAAAAAAAAATCAACTTTTCACTTTCGGAAGCACTCAATACATTTCGTATTAAAAACACTTTGAATAATCGAACACTTAAATTTACCTGGTGCAGCATAACTTGGTGGTGGTGGTGCGTATGCGGCGTCATATCCTGACTCGGCGCCAACCAAATCTCCGGCCTCTATCAACTGTAAACACATTCAAACACAAATCATTTTTAACACAAAAATTGCACAAAAAAAAAATCACAAAATTCACTATCAGAATAGATTCCACTCAGACGATTCTTTTCACTTGAACATAATGATAATACCTCATTTTCACTTGCGGTTGCTAACTCCAACTCTTGGGCGCTCAAAGCGTTGGCTGTTAGAATAATGCCAAAAATGGCAAACACAAATTTCAACATATTCATCGCGTTAAAACAAAAATCATAAATTGATTTAGCACCCAACGAACTTTGCGATTGAACTGAATGACAATGTGCTGTTGTACGTCTTTATATACGTTTTGATTTCATCGATTGTCAGCGAAATTGTTATTAAATTTATAATAATGCCAAAAAAGCTATGTCAACAAATATGCACGCATTGGCAAACCCGAAGACAGCTAACAAAAAAAGTACCGGTGCCAATCGTAATTTGACTTCGCTTAGTCAGGGTTCAATAACATCTGAATGCAATTACAATACACGCAATGTTTCAGTTTCTTGTTATTTGACGACAATTTGAAGCAATTAAAAAATGTTAGTAAATCGGCATGATTCTTTTCGTAAAAATATGTCATAACTTTTAACCGCGTTCCCATTGATAAAATGTTGAAACTGCGGTGTCTAAGGCAACATAACCAGAGAAAATAAGATGCATTCAAGTCGATTCAAGATTAATGATTGCATTATAGACAAGAAACCGTATTGAAAAAGATAAAATAAAAGAAATTTAAAGCAATTCATTCCTCTTGATGTTGTTCATGATTTTTATAGGTGCCAATTTGAGTGTTTAAAGCAGTAAAATCATTTTATATGGGGTCAGTAAATTCGAATATGCGATGGCTGATTTCCCATTAATTTGCTGTCGATTCATTGACATTTGCATATCGACATATCTTATTCGATGTTTAAATCTTGTTCCGGAATATGCATATCCGAATGCAATCGCGCTTATTTACGTATATGTATATATTTATTCAAAGAAAATGTTTAATACGCACGATCGATATAGTTCATGTTGTGTTTGTTATGTATATTGAAGTGATGGTCGCAATCGTGCTCGGTTTGTGCTTCTATGTGTATATGTGGTGAAGATGGAATGGAAACCGAGTTAAATCTAAAATTAATTAAAAATCAATGCGATTGCTATCACTTTCTGGTGCTCATGTTAAAGTCCAAGCATCAAGCAACTAAAAATGCCAACAATGTAAAGCCATTGTGTGGTAGTGATGCAGTAGCACCAATATCAACACCAATTTCAATGGCCATCCAGCTAGAATCATTGATTTAAATCCATAATAATCAATAGTCGAACTCTATGTTTTGTTAGAGGAAAAAAAATGCGAGAGGTTTATAGTCGTATGTCGCCATTATTGTACACCAACACTGGAAATTGTGTTTATACGAAAGTGGGCGAGAGCAAGCCGTGCTTTTTGCACGTGAATTCAGTGTTATGCTCGGTGTGTGTGTATGTGTGCATATATATGTGTGCTTTCATGTTTGGAATCATCAAACAGACATTGAATGCCAGGGATTGTTCCTCTGAGGAGGAGGAATGGTGAGGAGGAAAATGAGGAGGAGGAGGAGAGCGAGGAGGATCCTCCTCCTCAACTGAGGAGGAAAA